GTTCTCTAAGTCTTGTTCTGATTGTGCGTGGTCTCCTGTCTGGTGACTAATGGAGAGAGAGAGAGAGAGAGAGAGAGAGTATTTCGTTTTTTTTTTTGTAATCATCGTTTAACTTTAAGATTCGGTTAAAGAAAATCCAGAGGTCGAAATGTTTCATTCGGAAAATAAAAAAAATGTGAGTACTGAAGCTGATATTTTTCACTCAAGTATTTGAGAATATTATCCGGTCACTCACAGTTACCTGGAGCAAATATAGGTGAAGATGCGTCACTCACAGTTACCTGAGAGTAAAGTAGATGTGTCACTCACAGTCACTCACTGCCACTCTTCCCTCACGTCATCTCAGAACCAAGTGAACATGTTAGTGACTTTTTTTGTAAAGGTAATTAGTGTTTTCTCTGCCATGGCCGACAACATCTGCACTTGACTTTGTGTTTGACGTCGAAGAGAGTCACCTGAAGGCTCCTAGTCCAAGGCTCTTTACCTGTAATTAACCTCAAGTCAAGGTCGTGAAATTTCTGACATCTGTGCTTGGGAAAAATATAGTTATTCCATTTTGTGTCATTCTGGTGCCTGGGAAAAATTTATCATTCATTTTATTTTGTTTTTTGTGGTCGGAGAAAAATAATCATGGTAATTTATGTCGTATTATTGCTTGAAGAAAATTTAATTATGCTATTTTGTGTCGTTTTGGTGAATGAAAACAAAATTCTTCCAGTGTGTCGTGTGTTAGTATGGCCGTTGTGTTACTCGCCGTCTACATAAGTAATAACCGTAGTAGTTTTAACCCCAGATCGATGCCTTATACATAATAAATATCATGACAAGTTTGATACGCGTCCTAAACCCACAGTAACGTTTTATATTTATTTATTATTTTTTGCGTGGTGGGAAATATTGTTGATTTAGTTGATGTGAAGTCTAAGCCGCCACCATTGTCTGTCATGTAGTAGTCTTGGCTGGGATGACTTGACGTGTTGGCTGAGTTGGGTGTCTCACTACTGACGTTATTTACCAAGTGTAACGCGGCTCTAAGGAAACATCAAACTCTTGTGTTGTTTTAAGCTTAGTAAAAAAAAAATAGAGTATTAGTTGATGAATGCACCTGAAGTAACTCAGGTAAGTTGATACGCAGGTAAGAGTCATCAAGGTGTGTGTGTGGCGCGACCCTGAGTACTCGAGAGGTGCAAATGGAGTCTGCGTGGAGCTTAGTACCTGGGCGGGGGTCTGGCCTCCTCGCCTCATAATATTCCAAAATCATTTTACGTTCTGCGTTTTATGTTTATATGATACATGGAGTGTAAACAAGACATCATCCTTTGTTATGCTTTTCCCTCTTATGAAACGATAAAGAACTAAAAACTATCTCTTTATTTTGAAAATTACTTGAATAGAATCCATGTATGAGGGTCATAAATGGCTCTCAAGCACGGGATAATATAAACAGTGCTTTAAAACAAACCAAAACACCAGGGGTATCATAGAAGCGCCTATATATCACACCAATCAGAGAAAATAAAGGACAATTAGCCACATTTTTCATCGTCACCTGAACAATTACACGGTCACAAAGCAAGCACTCCCGCCAAGCAAATACGCGCGCACCTCCCGCTCGGTGATTGGCCACACTGCCACTCCGGGATTTTTACCGCGAGCAGCAGATGGCCCACTCTGCCTCTGAGGCCAGCCGTGAGGGGCAGGGCCGCCCGTCCGACTCCCCAATGTGATTGATTTTGATGAATGTGCTCACTTTGCCGGTGTGTGGAGATGGCTGGGGGTGTTAGGGAGGGTAGGAGGTGTTGTGGATGGTTGATGGTGGGAGCAACGCTGGATGGGTCTTGTTACTGGTATGTGGAGATGATTGAGGGGGTACAGCGGTGGGGAGATGATTATGATGGCATGTGGAGGTGAGGTGGGGGAGGGGGGGGTGAGAAGAGAGGAGGGGTCAGGGATAAACACAGAGGTGGAGTACTCAAGACTCACAACATATGGAGATGGCTGGAGGATCACTGGTGGAGATAAGAGTGCCCGAGGGAGATGGCAAGGTGGAATGCTTATAACGAGGGCATGCGGGGATGGGTGGAGGGTGTTGGTGGAGATAGAAATAAATTGTTCCTGATGGAGACAAGTTGAAGGAGGCAGACGATACGCGTGAAAATAAATCGCTTCTTTACATAACACTGTGATTTTTGTTTGGCTTTCAACTCGGCGTCATGTACGAGTTGGCAAGATTTACCTTAAGTATTCGGTGTGAACTGCTGTAGGAGTGACGTGCAGGTGTTGTAGAAGTGTTGGTAGCCAGGACGTGTATGGCCGTAGGTACCAGTTAACCAAAGCTAAGAGATGATCAACATTAAAATCACTTCAGGTGTTATTTTAATGCGTTCTGTGTTCTTCAAGATTACAAGAGAAACAAACACACTCTCGTATGTCTTTTTCTGATAAATCATTTGGCTCTGGAAGTCAACAGATCATTAGTTCAACTGTTTAATAATCGTGATCATTGGAGGTGTTTCAGTTACTAATGATCACGGCTAACCTAAAGCTGTTGTTTTGTTAGCTTCGAATTCTAATGATGCCTTAAGACTAATATTAGAATTTCTGAGTCGTGATGTAGCGATTCAAGAGCAATATAAAAGGTTCTTGTACGGTGTTAAGAGAGCCACTATTCCATCCACCCAAACTTCATGAGTCAGCGCTATCCACCTTCGCTCTTCCACACATTTTCTGTTACACTCTTTTTCCCTCGGCCCATCACCACTCCAGTTCCCTTGTGTTGGGGGCTCCTCTGTGATGCTCTTGTTTGTGATGCTCATTTTTTTTGTCTTTCCTTGTTTATATTTACCATTTCTCGTTTGGATTATTAATTATTGAATCTTTTATACATCATATTCTCCCCTCCCTTCCACCCTCCCCCCTCGAGGAGATAATATTGTTTGTTTTTTCTACTTATTGTTGTTTAGTTTTTACAAGCACTGTTGATCCCTATGTGAGAGAGAAACTTCCTACGCTCGCCCACTGTTGTCTCTCGTCTGGTAACACCCTTCTCTTCCTTCCTAATGCTATCATCATATTTACCAATGAAAAACAAAACGAAAACAAGAATTAATTAGATTCTTAAAAAATAATAATAATCTTTGGTGCTACAAGAGGTAATTACTTTGTTGTCTTATTACACGTTCATCATCATCCTCGCATCAGTGTTAAGGTGAAGCGTCGTTTACAGAGACCACACCTGCAGCCACCGTCTCCCCCCAGCACGCCGTCCCACCTTCCACTGATCGGCCACTTCAGGATGTGACCATTTTTGTGGGGGGGGGGTGGGAGGGCTGGACTTCAGAGTTTCCAGATGGTGCCTGGAAGCCCATCTGTGTTACTCTTCGGTTCTATTTTCATTGAAATTTGACTCATTAGAAATTTTTACGACCGTCAGGACACTGTAAAGATCATATATGGGAATTTATATGGTACGTAGGCCTGTAGAGTTGTCGTTTTTAAGACGTCAGTCATGATTTTGGAAATGAAATAGTGGAAAATAATTTTTGATGCACAAGTTAGACCACTTTGCCTCTCATACTCTCCCTGCCATTGGTCACCAGATAGAGAAATTTGAACCTAATCAGACGCCATTTAACTCATTGTTTGTGCTAAAACTTGATAATAGGATGATTTATTTTTTTATATTATGAAAGAAAATAAAGTAAAATAGAAATAACTTCTCATTCCTTCGTCATAATTAGGAAAAACGTAATATACAGTGTTGCCACCGAGCGTTCTGCGAGAAGCGCTGTGTGGTGGCGCCGCCCTGGTGGTGAGCCGGAGAGTGAGTGGCGCGGGAACACTGGCGATAGTGTTTGATTACTTCACCAACACTATGTTAAGGTCACCCTCATCATCATAAATTTTGCCCCATCAGCCGTAACGGAGGAGTATCAGCGAATACCAGGGAATATTGGGGAATATCCTGGGAATAGCTGGGAATATTCCTGGGCTGACGGTCAGCTGGCGGCGGTCACCTCACATATTTTGAAGACGTTTTACGTTAATGTAATTTTTAAGACTTTAACTCCTGGATAATTATGTCATACATTTATGTAAATTTATGCAAGTTATGATAATGTATCAAAATAAAATAAAGATATTTGTTAGCATATTAGTGAGAAGTTTGAACAGTTGTATACATAGTATATTTTATAGCAAGTTAAGATTTACGCCACAGTGTTGGCAAGTGTTTTGTTGTAATACAGACTAAGAGGCTGCTGGCGCCGTCTTATCTCACTGTAACAACACCAACAACATTTCACTATTAACACCCATTAATATGAGTGTTTCTTTGTAGATAATATTAGTATTTATGAGAGAATATTGTTTAGGTTGTCAGTAGAAGACAGTGCATGAGGGAGGTCGGTGTCTTAACAACATACACAGGTGACAGAGTTGGCTGTTATGGTCATCTGGCACCGGTTAATGTATCGCCTTGTTATATGTGCACCAGTGCCTCATGTATGACCTCCCGGTACTCGTCTCTGCGGTTTTAGATTAAATAATTACATCCTTTTAAAGCGCGCTCATCCAGCGAGGGTAGGAAGGAAGATTTTATTTAGGTCTTTCAGAGACACGTCGTGAGCACCTCCGCGGCGTTTACAGTCATTATATACATCAGAAGAAGGTTGTTTACGAAGCTCCGCCAAACACTGCGCCAGCGTTCTCACCGTCCCGCACGCTTCACTGCAAATGACGCCTGCCGCTAACAGCAACCCAGCTTTCCTGCTCGGTGACTCCGCCCCTTATGAATCCATAATGCCGATTTGTGGGCTGAAGACTTGGGAGGAGTCGGGAGGCGGGGCTGGGCGGGGCCACGGGCCGGCCACCAATGCGCGCTCAGCACACCGATAAGCTAATTCCACCCTTAAACTCGCGTGTTGACGTTGTGGGGCGATTATCTTGGCTGGCCCGAATGAAATATTATGTGTGTTGAGAAAATATTTCATAACGTTGATTTTTGCCAGTAGTTGGCTGGCGCGGGCAGGAGCAGCCCGAAAGAGCGGCCGGGTGCCTTCTCTCGCCTCCCATTGGCCGACGCCCGTGATCGCTATTAGCTCAAGCACCCAGCAATACGTTGAACCAATCGGCCTCTTCCCCAAGACAAGCCAGCGCTCAGCCATACACCAGCTGTTTTTATCCGCCAAACTGTAAAAACGCTCAGGTAACGACGGAACAGTTTTTTAGTGCGGTGGCTAGCCTGCCGCGAGACGTGTGTAGCATGTTAACCCGCGTCTTGGCCGTCACGTGACCTCCCGGCCTGGCCAGGGTTGCCCGCAAACAACCCTTGAGGGGTACTTAACCTTAGGGTGGACAGACCCTCTACCAGGCCCTGACAGACCCTCCACTCCCAGTACATCAGTGCCACAGGATAATTGAGCCACTTCAGTGCCCGCTAGTGCCATGCGTCGCCGCCATGTGCAGTGAATAACGGCATGAACAAGCAGTGTCACATCGTGATTGGTCAGTGGATAATTAGTAAATTAGTTGTGATTGGTGATTGAGGTGGTGCTACCTGAAGGTGATTTACCGCCGCACGTACGTACACACGGACGCACGGACGGGCACGACACCGACATAGAAGATACCATGGCCAACGTTACGTACACAGGCGCGTCGTCAACATCACCTGTGAGTATAGAAAAATAATTACGTCTTGTGTTGTCGTTGTGTCGTCAGTAGGTAGTAGTGTTGAAGTGTTACCACCACAGTGTTTTAGGGTGGTTAGTGGTGTGGCGTAGCGGGAGGGGGTGTGGAGAGGAGGACTACAAGAGGCATGATACAAGACAACACGGTGGGCTGAACAAGAGCGACGGCGACACTTTATACCAGTGTTCCGGTGGTCGCACAGTGTACCGTTACCCACCCACCCACCCACTCACCCACCACACTCTTGTACCCACCCTCACTCACTCACTCAGACTACCGTTGTTACTCATATACTTAATCTTTTAGCCACTCACACTCATTCATCCAACACACTACTGTTTACTCACAAGAACTATATCACACATTCTTGTACTCTCCCTCACTCACCATTACGATATCACATCACTATTCAACCTTCACTCATCACCACACCATACTACTACTGTTACTCACACATACTGTACACATTGTTGTATCTGGACACACACACACAAACACTATCATTACACACACACATGGTTTATAATCATCCGAGTTATCCTGGTCCTACAGTAAATAATCGTCTAGTTCTACAGTATATAATTACTACCTCTGTCCTACGGTATATAATTACCAATCTCGGTTCTACACTACTATATAATTGTGATCCCTGTTCTACAGAATATAATTATCATCCCGGTCCTAATGTCTAACCCACCTGAGTCAACATTGTACCGGGAACTGTAACGTTATGAGGTACCAGTAACGTTGGTAACCCGGTACAATAACGCGAGAGACACGAGTCATACATACATACATACATACATACATACATACATACATACATGAGTGGGACGAACGGGAAAATCATACATACAGGAACGTGATATTCATACATAAAGATAACAGAGCGTGATGATATATTTCATACCTTTCAATAATACAAAATATCACGCCTCATACACCAGCGATGTTTATTTGTTTATTTCCGCTGTTTTATGTATAAGTACAAAGGCGATGTATACTGTAATTGAATGGGTATAGTGAGGTAGTATACACTTACATTATACAGTATACACAAAGGCAGTGTATAGTTAAAGGTATAGAGTATATTCAAAGGCAGTATAGTGTTATATGGATATACAAAAATCTATATGTACTTTTATATACGGAGGCAATGTATGTACAGTATATAGTAATAATATGGAAATAAATTAATATAAACTGCATATATATACTGTATATGAATCATACACATTTGTAATCTAAAAAATACTGAGACTGACAAAACAATTAGAAATGATATACAGTATATACACACATATATATACACACACACACATAAAGTATACACACACACACACACATACAGTATATATGCACATACAGTATATACACAAATATACACACACACATAATATACATACATATACATACATACACGTATATTCTTTTAATCTACAAAGCGAATGTCAATCGAATTTAAATAAAATGATAAGTATATATAGCTAATATTGGAGCCGAGCTGTGTTGTATATCTGCATGTATAATAGAGTTGAATATATGATTAGGGAAATACTGCACCAGTTACCAGTACAGGGATTATTGCCTTGGATAATAATAATAATAATAATAAATGTATTTGATAATAACAATAATAATAATAATAATAAATGTATGTAATAATAATTATAAAAATAATAATAATAATACTTTTGCAACAATGATGATAATAATTACATATGACAATAATTATAAAGATAGCGTAATAATAAATAATAATTGGAAGATAATAATGATGATGATGATGATGATGAAAAGTTGCTGTTCGTGTAGATAATGTTAGAAATAATATAGCATCATTAATCATTGTAATATTGTGAGTAATATTAATAATAGCAATAGTTGAAGGAACTAAAACTACAGGAAGAAATACGTCAATAATGATGATGGAACAAAACAACGTAGAAAATTATTATTATTATTATTATTATTATTATTATTATTATTATTGTTATTATTATTATTATTGCTTTTGTTGCTTTTGTTTTTGTTATATGTTTACTAATAATACTGTTTATCTATTGTTATTATTATTACTTTCAATTTAACACAGGAGAGTAATAATACAATCACATACATCAATGTAATTAGTAAAATCATTGTTAAAACAATTTATAAAAATTAAATTATTTAATTGGCAATTATTTATTACAAGTTTGTGGCAATCATTAGTGATAATTTTACTCATAAATAATAATTGCTAAATATAATAAAATGTAATTATTAATAATTTGTTTAAGATTATTGTAAAATTATTAGTAATATTCTTTGTCAGTTTTAAGGTCAATTATTACTTTTTGAAGGTAATGTTAGTAATACTTTCTGTGATGAAATACAAATTATTTATACTTTGTTTACTTAAAATATATAATAATCGGACATAAATTAAGTTAATAAGTTTGAATAATAAAGGAGCAACAAGCGGAAAATTATTATTATTATTATTATTATTATTAGTTCCCTTTTATTGTTTTTGTAATTTACTTTATTTATTGAATGTTGTCATTTGATAATTTTATTAATATTTTTTAAACTTGTAATTTTGTTAAGTCTTATAGATATGAATTTTATTTATATAATTTATGTGATTAGTTTACCATTGGTTTATTTTACTGCTACAACTACAGGGTCCACAATTATCACCACCACTACCACTATCCTATCACTAGTACCACCACCACTACTACTACTACTACTACTACTACTACTACTACTACTACTACTCTACCGCCAGTACCACCAGCACCGCCAACACCACCACCACCACTCCTACCATACTACAAGCACCACCACCATTCTTGCCCTACCACCAGCACCACCACCACTACCCTACCACCACCACCACTACTACCCTACCACCACCACCACTACTACCCTACCACCAGCACCACCACTACCCTACCACCAGGACCACCACCACCACTACCCTACCACCACCACCACTACCCTACCACCACCACCACTACTATTTCTTCTACCACCCTACCACTGTTAATATTATTACTACAGTTATCAGTACCTTTTTTACTATCACTGTTACTACTACTACCACGACTACTGCTGTTACAACCATCACCACCAACACTACTACCATTACTACTTTTGTTACTACTACTACTACCGCCCCCCCTGAGACCATTTCCGTCATTACTTTCGCGACTGCCACCACTACCATCACCACCCCTACTACCACCACCCCTACTACCACCACCACCTTTACCACTATCACCACTACCACCACTACCACCCCTCCCACCACTACCACTCCTACTACCACCACCACCCCTACCACCACCACCACCCCTACCACCACCATCTCTACCACCACCACCACCCCTACTACCACCACCACCACCCCTAATATTATATAATAATGGTTGCCCCTCCTGTACGAGGATGGCCGGCCCAAGGGCCATCTAGGCGTGAATTTGTTTAAGGTGTAGAAGCTGTCGCCAACACAACAACCACACCCTAAGTTAACGAGCTGCATGACCCAGTGTCAAGGAATAGTCCGAGAAGACCGGACAACTCTCCAACTGTACTGGCTAACCATTACCCCGGAATACGATCCGCAAATCGATTAATATCTAGGTTTCCAATTACTGTTGGGTAGACAGAGACAAATAGCGTTAAGAAACTCGCCCATAGTTTTACCCTGACTGGGGATCGAACCCGGGTCCGCTCACTTGCGAGGTGAGCATGCTGACTATTACACCTACTACCACCACCACCACCCCTACTACCACCACCCCTACTACCACCACCACTACTACTACCATTGCCCAAATCATTACCACCAGTAGCTTCCTACTCCTACTAGTACTAACGCCACTACGACCACCAATATCACCACTATTGCTACTACCACTATAACATCATCATCAAAACTACCACTATTTCATTTAACCACCACCACAGCAACCACAAACATAACTGATTTCCTCTCCACCATTACCATCATACTTACCACTCCCATTTTTTCTCTCTACCACCACGACCACCACCACCACGACCACCACCACCACCACGACCACCACCACCATTTCCACCAGCATCATCATCACTCCTACTACCATCACCACCATCACTACCCTCATCATTACCAGCACCTCCAGACCGATAACAACAACAACAATTACTGATATGTATTTTCGAATAAATTTATATAACTCATTATAGTAATATTTATTTTATTTCTTTGTTGAATAATATTAAGTGGAAAAATAATATGTGTGATTAGAATCGACGATATTAATAATGTTGTTGGTAATAATGATATTTTTTAGTAAACGATGTAATAATAATAATAATTATAATAATAATAATAATTTTAATAATAATAATAATAATAATATATCACAATCACCAGCCCACACACACACACACACACACACACACACACAAAACAGGAAGTACAATCATCATCACTTTACCTTTCCGCCACTACCTGTAATAACTGTAATACTGTACTGTAATAACTGTAATACTTTAGTATAATATAAATGTCGGCTCTGGCGTTCATACCGAGGTTGTATTATTAAAATATATGGTTGTATTTTTTGTTGTATATTTGTTAATAATTCGGTTGTTGTCAGAGTGTGTATTGAGATCGGTTCAGATATTATCGTAAGTGACAATAATAAGTTGTAAGTCATTTAAGTCATCCCAGAAACGTGTACTTAAATTGTAAGTACACTTAAATCATCCCCGGAACAACTCTAAAGGCACTTAAGTCATTCTAGGATGGTGTACTTTAGTTGTAAGTCACTTAAATTTCGCTTTTACTTTTTTGTCAGATAAGTTTAAGAGATAGAGACCGAGATAGAGTAAGAGAGAGACCGAGATAGAGTAAGAGAGAGACCGAGATAGAGTGAGAGAGAGACCGAGATAGAGTAAGAGAGAGACCGAGATATTGTACTTTAGAGCGACTCCTATGTAAA